CCTTAGAATTTTGAAAAGCATTCGTAAAACAGATGCCACAATCAGTGCCTCGAACCTGTACCGCAATCCACAAAATGCAGATAACAAACACCCCAACACTGACCGAGTCTTGCCAAGTTATGGATGTGGATGCAACTCGATCATAATTTTTTACGATCTTGTTTCAGCAAAATATGGGGGAAGTAATCTGATAATTAAAGAGCTTGTCAATAATGAACAAGGGGACCAGGAAAGACATGCCTTCTATTCACTCAAAATTTTCCTAGGGCAATGTGATTGACTGTTTACCTTGATCTAATGAAGAGTCAGAGACTTCAACAATTTCCCAGAAAAAAGAAAGAAAGAGGCTGTATTCACGGGTTTAACAGAACCATATGGGGAAGATCTTAACCCTGTTGACCAGGAGTTTGTCCTCGTCCACTTCGCCCACCACGCCCACCACGTGCACCACGTGCTATTCGACCACGTAGAACTCTTCCACGGCCTCTAGTACTTGGAGAAGAAAGTACTGCAGGAGCTCCACCTCCACCTCCACCCTGTCTCAGCATTGCCCTCTGCCTAGCTCGCTCTGCTAAATTGACAACAGTAGAGGTGTTACTTGCAGGTGATACCTGTCTAACCTCTTCTGCCTCTGCTCCACTGGAACTAGCTTGTTTTGATGCATCCATTTCTGTATTGGCAGTAGCTGTTGTTCTCTCTCCAGCGACTGAAGCAGCCTCAGGACTCTGATCAGTCTCCACAGCTATCTGGTCACCACCATCATTTGACTTGTCGGAACCTTCACCAATTTCTTCAACTATATCACCCTCATCATTCTTCTCATCAGTGATCATCTCAGGAGAATTAATCTCACCTGACTCCATTCCCACAGGAACCATAGCTTCATCATCAATCCTAGCTGGTGAAGCCACAGGAGTAGTGTCAGGAAGAACTTCCCCAGTTTCTGGGCTCCCTGCCATGTTTGACATATCAGTGCCTTCCTCGACTTCTGCAACTAGTTCCCCCTCTTCCCTCTCATTTTCAAACTCCACAGGTGATTGTTGGTTGTCTTCTGCAGTAGCATGATCCTTCGAACCATCATAAATTTCCATTCCACTTTCATTTGGTTTATCCAAAATCTCTTCAGCAACTTCATTTGTCTCATTCTCTGGTTCAACTTGAGTTGTGTCATCTAATTGTTCAGATTCTTTTGGAGGCTCTGCTTTCTCTCCGGAAGTCTCAACCTCTTCCTTTTCTGCAACAGCTTCCTCTTCACCTTGAGACAAATCAGTGACAGCTGATTCTTCCACCACCGGAAGAGTCACCAGAGTCTCTGATAGAGTGGCAGCTTGTCCTTCACTACCTTCTTGCACGGAATCAGTACCTTTTGGTCTCTTCAAAACAGGTGGTGGAACATCAGAGCTAGTCTCTCCTTGATTAAAGGGCTGCTCGTTCAAGTCAGAACTAGATGAAGCAAGGCGCTTGCGGGCTATTGGCTGAGAAGATGGTGTGATATTGTGTTGAGTTTCAGACTCGCTAGCTGGTGTAAGCTTTGCCACACTAGTAGATCCATCCACCTCTGACATCTCAACATCGCTTGGAGGCTCTTCAGGTCTAACAAGCCGGGGTCTTACCAGCTTCCTCCCTGTCTTGCGAGTTTCAACATTGGGTTTGGGTACAGGAACTTTTCTCTCCTTCTCTTCGGCCATTTTAGTAGGTAAGTGAGCATGAGGAGCTACTGATGAAACGATGGTAGCCTGAGAAGGAACTGCCTGACCTGCAACGCAAAATAGAAAGAGAGATGCTCAAACTGAAAATGGGGATAAGCAGGAAAGCAACTTGCCACCTTAAAAGTTATCACCTAGTAGTCTAAGGCAAACCAAAGAAGATGATTAGTTGATTACCAGGAGTAACAGTGGCAGAAGCATCTGGAATCAAAGGATTCTCCACTGATTGGACACCAGCTCCAAGTTCAGAGGAAACAGAAAGTGCTACCCTTTCAAAGTTCTCAATAGCTGATACATAGGTGGCAGCTAGATCATCCAAGATGGTCCCCGAAAGAAGCTGAACCACAGAGGTGCCCTGAAGTGAATTGAAGAACGAAATTAAAAAACAAATGCATAAAGTTCTCAACCAATGGACCAATCTTCCCAAAGGGACAAGAGAAAAAGAACGCTAGAACATGTAAGATTTTTCATCCATAAACTCAGTCTCACACACAC